AGGCCAGAAGTCCAAGATGAAGCTAACGGCAAGGTTGGTTCCTTCTGGAGGAGCTGAGGGAGACTCCGTTCCGTGCTCATTTCTTGACTTCCGGTGGCTTCTGGCAATCCTTGGCATTCCTTGGCTTGCAGCTGCATTGTTCCAGTCTCATCACAGGATGCTCTCTCTGTGCATCTCTGTGTCCAAATTTCCCTCTTCCTAAAAGGCCACCAGTCATGTGGGCTTTAGGACCTGCCCACATCCAATATGACTTCATCTTAATTATATCTGCAAAGACCCCATTTCCAAATAAGATCACATTCATAGGCTCTAGGTAGACATAAACTTCAGGAGGACACTATTCAAGCCAAGTTCCCAGACCCCCTGGTTTAAGTGGAATTAGTACTAAGTCCAAAAGAGAGAAATGATAAAATGCTAATGGTTATTGTGTTGAAGAGTGAAGTTATGGATTTTTTCTTATGCTTATTTTCAGGATGTTCTAAAATATAATTATATTTAAGAATAAAAAATTAATAAAGAAATGATGATATGCTGTTGATTTTAAGCACTGGCAACATTTTAGATAATAATTTCCCTTTAATTTAGCCTTCGATGATTTCATCAGCACGAAAGCAAAGAGATCTGGTCAAGTAAAACAGGTCAGGCTACTGGTTTTATACATCTGTGAAGTTGCAGATTAACCTGAATAATCTCTGCCAAAGAAAAATGTAGAGTCATGCTTAGCTCTTTTAGTAAAAGAGGAACGTGATCAAAAAGTCTCATAGACGTAAGGCATCGTTGGATAAATACAAACTACAAATGCAATTTAACAATGAAATTTAAAAACAGTAGTCAACATACCTGATTAAAAAGAGGTTAAGAACCCATATATTTATGGGCAATGAATATCTAACAAGACTGTCAAGCACATTCAATGGAGAAAGAATAGTCTCTTCAACAAATGGTGCTGGGTCAACTAGATTTCCACATAGAAAAAAATCAAGTTGGAGCCCTACCTCAGACCATATATAAAAATTAACCCTAAATGGATCAATGACCTAAATATAAGTGCTAAGACCATAAAATTATTAAAAGAAAACATAAAAGTGAATCTTAAAGATCTTGGATTTGGCAATAGAACCTTAGATATGACACCAAAAGCATGGGCAAGAAAAGACAAGACAAATTGGATTTCACCAAAATTAAAAACATTTATGCATCTAAGGACATTATCAAGGAAGTGAAAAGGCAACCAACAGAATAGGAGAACATGTTTGCAAAATATTTGAGAGTTTCTCAAAATGTTAAACATAGAGTTACCAGGTGACTCAGAAATTTTGCACCTTGATATATGCCCAAGACAACTGAAAACACGTCCACACAAAAAAATTGTATACAAATATTCATAGCAGCATCATTCATAATAGCCCAAAAGTGTAAATAACCCAAATGTCCATCAATGAATACATAGAAAAACAAAACATGGTACAGCCATACAAAAATGAAATACTAATACATGCTACAACATGAATAAACCTCGAAAACATTATGCTAAGTGATAGAAGCCAGATGTAAAAAGCCACATATTTTATGACTCCACTTAAATGAAGTAACCAGAATAGGCAAATCCATTGTGACCAAAAATAGGTAAGTGGTTGCCAGGGGCTGAGGGAAGGGAAGAATGAAGAACAACTGCTAATGGCGTAATGAAAAGTTTTGGGATTAGATAGTGGTGATGGTTGCACAACTCCGTGAATACAATATAAAACCACTTCATTAAAGGGTGAAATTTGTTTTGAAAGTTACATATCAATAAAAAATAGCTCATGAGAAATCAAAATGTTTGATTAATGTGTACCCATTTAAAAACCTATTGTCAAGTTTTAAAGACATTAAATTTTCCCTAAAAATACAAATTTTGCTGTTTGACACATTTTTCTACTTCATGAAAGAATTATACTAGTGAACATAGTATGTTTGACTCATTCTTAAGAGAGGTCCTACGTAGCACAAAAAGTTTATATACATCAATTTTTTGTATATCTCACATTAAAGAAAAACACATTTAATAAAGACAATGACGGTTGGAGCTAATAGCAGAGCTGTCTGCTTCTCTGGGATAAACAAAACGGATAAGCTGACCCTGAGAGGGAGATTAGCATGCCAGAGGGTTTGGGGGAGAGCACCTGGGATCAACTTCATGGGAAGAAGAGGAGGAAGCAGGAGTGGGAAGGAAGAGAAGCTGGACTGTGATGATGAAGTCTCAAGGTTGGCCCCAGAGGTCCCTACAGAAAACTAAAGCTGGACAGCCCTTTAGCATTGTCCTGAGTTGGAGCAAAAGGCCTGGGCCTTTTATATCTCCATCTTGATTCATCCCTGGATGCAGGATGCTCTGGGGAAGGTAAACGGCTGCCTTCAGTCAAGTAACTCCAAAAAGGGCTGATAGCTGAGGGCTTCCTGCTGGTGGTACTCCCAGTGGCTGTGGGAATTAGTTCTTCATTCCTGAAGGGGGACCTAGGTGGTGCATCACTGCCTCCACCACCTACACTAAAATGCTTAGGAAGAAAACTAGCACTTACCAAGATTCTACTATGCACCAACCACTTTCCTAGACATTTTCCCATTTAATTTCATAATCAGAAGTTTCTCGACCCCAAGGCCACATAGTTAGTGATAGATGTGGGAGGAATGGCCATCTCTTTCCTCCCCATCACATTTGCCAAGTGACTCTTTGAAAATAAGAAATTTCAGAAGTATTTATTGACTCATGTCTTAAAACTGACATCTTCTGAACATCTGCTATGTGCCACACACTGGGAAATTATAGAAAAGAGACAAAATGTCTTTCACACACAAACATACGCACAAATATATACATATGTATGTAAATATGTAAACATATAATGGATGCACACATACATAGATGTATACGTACATAGTTGTTCAGGCCAAAATCAGAGCATCCTGCTTAAAACCTATTCTCTTGCCTGCTATATGTAACCCATTATCAAGTCCTGTTGTTTTTAGCTCTAAAATGTATCTTGAATTTTCCAGCGTCCAGCTATCTCCACCCCAATCTTAGCTCATCATCATCTTCTGCAGGGGCTTCTTTAGCAACCTCCTAATGGTCACTCTATGTCCTGTCTAGGCTCTAATCCACTCCACATAGTCTTCAGGGTGATTTTTCCCAAAATGCATAATTATTCATGTTACTGTGCTGCTTAAGGTGTTTCAATGGCTGTCTTTGTCTTTCAGGATAAAGTCTAAATTCTTTAGAAGGTTTACATACATTTATTTAAAAACTATTTATTGTCTGCTTTGTCCCAGGCACTATTGTAGACACTGGGGATACGGCAATGAAAAAAGACAAAGCTCTTACTCTTGTGAAGATTATACTCTAATGGGGACAGAGAGAAAAATAAACGTAATAAGAGAAGCATATATTATTCTACAAAAAGATAAGCACTATAGAGAACAACAAAGCAGAGTAAGTGGAAGGAGAATCTTTGAGTCTGTGTGGGAAGAGGGGGAGCTGCAAGTTAATATAGAATGGTCAGGGTAAGTCTCACAGAGGAGGTGACATTTGAACAAAGAAGTCACAAAAAACTGAAGGATGTGAGGGAACGAGCCATAGGGGGTACGGAAAGCCTTCCAGGCAGGGGGGGAGGGGGGGACGGAGAGTGCAAATGGTGAACTTTGAGAGGTCTAAGTGTGTTGTGGGGGGCTGTGCATCCTAAGATGTTTAACAGCATCACTGGCCACCCCAGTTTTAACAACCAAAAATGTCTCTAGAAATTGTTACAAAGCAAGAAAGATTCAAGGAAATTGAGAAGATATTTAAGAGAATATATTATTTTTAGCTTATTTCATTTATTATGATGTTATCAAACATCTCAATAGTAAAAAGACTATAATGAACCTCCGCGAGTCTATCACCCAAATCCAACAATTAAAAACATTTTGCAATCTTCTTTCATCTATTCCTCCCCATATTTTCTTTTCCTTGAGCATTTTAAAGCAAATCTGAGACATCAAACTGGTTCACCCATAAATACTTCAAGATGTATCTAAGGGCTTTAAAAAACCATAATCACAATGCCATTATCATTTATAACAAAACTAACAACTCTTTAATGTTAACTAATTCTCAATCCATATTCAAATTTTGAAAAGGAAAGATGATAATGACCGGCGATAAACTTAAGCTGGCTAAGGACAGTGGAAACGTGGTTAGATCATTAGGTTAAAGATCCTGGTGGGTGAGGAGTTCATAGCTGGAAGGGTGATCCCACTTTCATCTTTGCTCACTGCTCAGTCACAAGTCTTTTTCAGTTTATAATGAGACAAACTCCTTCCAATCTGGGATGTTGTAAGATTCTGGGCAGATCTCTTTCCCACGATCTTATCCGTTTTAGCTCCAGCACCAGACAGTATCAGTAGAATATGCAGACTAAATTAGGTCCTCCTTTTAGACCCTTTGTACTTCTTTGGAGCACTTACAATCATAATTTCAAAACTATAGGAAAACGCATTTGTTTGATGTCTAAGTCCTCTAAAAACTACGTCTCCTTTGTTCACTGCTGTCATTGCTAGCCCCTAGGGCAGCGTCAGGACACAATAAATATTTGTTGGACAAAGGAGTGTTCAATAATGTCAATGCCACACACTTCTAAACCCACCCGCAACAAGGTTTCTAAGGATTCATATTATTTACTCTCAAGCGACAGGTGCCAATTCCTCACTTGTAAAAAAGATATAATTTAGGAGGGCCATATAAGTTAATTACTTGAAGACTAAATTGGGCCCCTCGTCCCTGCTGAATTTGGAGAGACAGCGCTCTGAAAACCTTTATCAACCCAAATATGCTCGTGTATAAAGGAAACCATTAATTTAGGTTTAATCCTAAACACCTGAGCCCTCCCGTGGTGGTTTACCTTGTTCTACAATAGCCAAGAAGGGGTGGGCCCCGAGTTCAGATTGGGCGTGCAGACTGCGTGAGCAAACGCGCGGGTCTCTGCCTGCGGAGGAGGATCTTAACCGCCCAGAACGGAAGTTCCTGAGCCTTCAAACCCGCGGGGAAGCAACTCGGCAACGGACCAACATGGCGGCGTCCAGTGAGGGACCTGCGTTTGCCGCGGGGGTTGAAAAGAATTGGGGTGCCGTTTCTCGCTCCCCAGAAGCGACTCCACAGAAAATCCGTCAGCTTATAGATGAGGGGATTGCTCCGGAAGAGGGAGGCGCTGAAGCGTGAGTTCGCGAGTCTACCCTGGGTCCGGCACCGGCAAACTGGGAACGCAGGCCTGTAGGGGATCCCCTGGGTCGGCGACTCGGGTGATAAGGATGGCTTTGTCCTGGGATCTGAAAGAGTCTGGGGTTACTACGCTTAGTCGGCCTTAATTTCCTTGGGCTGTACTGGATTTCGTATCAATGGGCGGAATTTTGCCATAAGTCAGATTTTGGCTGGGAAGGAAAAAAATAGCACCTCTAACTATGCGCACCTGACTGACCTCTTAGTTGGGCTTCTTAATATTTTCTGAGCCCTAGACACCTTTGGCGGCCTGGTAAAGCTCATGGACCCCTTCTCAGAATAATATTTTTAAATGTATAAAGTAAATTAGGTAGGAATACGGTTATCAAGATAGTAAGAAAAAGTGATTCAGTAACATGCTTCTTTATTAAAGTTAAATAAGATCTAGTCATAGATCTATTAGCTACCATAATTTTGAAGTAGTGATAAGCATACACGGTATTTCAAAACATGTGTAACAACTATAATGCGCTGACAAAATATCTGTAATTTCCATTGGTGACAAATTCACAGGTACTGCTGATGCTAATATGGTTTTATTTATTACCCATAATTGAAGGAAATGCTAAATTTCAGTTAGAGGTTAGTAAAATGTCTTTTTTTGCCATCTCAGTGTATGAATCCTCTGAATTTTTCCAAGAATTACACCTCGCTGAGGCTCTCTATAACTCTTTGAGAGAGACTAACACAAATTTCTTTTGGGTTGTAATAGTTGTATTCCTGTTTCCAGGCACTATTGAAATGCCTTTCACTGAAAACAAGACAATTGTTTTTTCTGTTTTTTTCTCTTTGAATTTTTTCATGAAATTACCTAAAGATCTTTACTTTAATTAGAATTTTCAAATTATGACTTCTTTGGGGGAGGAGTGGGTATCAAGGGTTGATCCAGGTAGAACTATCAAGGTTGTTTATTCTGCTTTTAAAAGAATTACATTTCTAAGATGGTTCATATTAAATAATGCATAGAAGCTGAAGTCATATTTTGTGTTTACTAAAGTTAGGCAAAATATTGTTGGTAAGCAGTGAGTGAACTAGAGGAACAGTTTGCCCATGTAGGTTCAGTAGAGTACTGTGGAGATAGAAGTTGCTTGTAACTTAGGTATGGCCAAACTGTAAAGAGATTTGAATGCCAGACTGAAGAGTTTGGTTTCTATTTAGTAAGCACAGTTGTCCCTCAGTACCCGAGGGGGATTGGTTCCAGGATCATGTTCAGACATCAAAGTCCTTGCTTAGGTCTCTTACATAAAATGAGGTAGTATTTGCGTATGACTTATCTTCCTATATACTTTAAATCATCTCTAGAATTCTTGTAATAGCAAATACAATGTAAACAGTTGTTATACTGAATTCTTCAAGGAATAATGACAAAAAAAGTCTACATGTTCAGTATTGTGGCAACCATCATAGGCCTAACTACATAGTTCATGCCAGCAAAAACATAACATTTTTCCTCCCGAATATTTTATATCCGCAATTCGTTGACTCCATGGATGCAGAACCCATGGATACAGGGGGTCGACTGTATCGTGAACATTGAAAATGTTAAGCAGAGGCATAACATGACAAAAATGATTTTTAGAAGGGTTAAAATCCAGTGTGATGTGATTGATGACATGAAGGGCAGAGAAGCTGGATACAAAGTGTTGAGGCAGAGTGATGCCATGAAAGGATTACTAACAGCTCTGCCACTTTATTTTAGGAAGGACACATCTTCCACATTCCAGTCAGTTAATGGATCACCCCAAGCAGAACAACTTCCATTGGAATCTACAAGCAAAGAAGCCTTCTTCAGTAGAGTGGAAACATTTTCTATATCCTTTTTTAGTTCTTGGCACTCAAACTTAATGTTTTTTGAGACTATACTACACTTCCTGTCTCTTTCTAGATTTTCCTCTGTATATCAGTTATCTATTACTGTAGTTATTACTTACCCTAAAACTTAATGACCTAAAAACAAGAATCATGTATCTCACAGTTCTTGTGCATCTGGAATCCAGCTACAACTTAACTGAGTTCTCTGGCTCAGGGTCTCTCACAGGCTGCAAATAAGATGTGGGCTGGGACTGCACTCATCTTGGAAGGATCCACTTCCAAGGTCACGTGGTTGTTGGCAGGATTCATTTCCTTGTGGCTGTTGGATTGAGGGTTTCAGTTCTGTACTGACCGTTGGCTAGAGCCCTCCCTATGTTACTTGCTACATGGGCTTCTCCACTGAGATAGTTCACAACATGGCAGCTAGCTTCCCCTCAGAGTGAATAAGCAAAACAGAACCAGACAGAAGCTAACCTCTTTGTAACCTAATCTCAGAAGTGACATCCATCACTTTCGCCATTTCCTGTTCACTAGAATGATTTTTTTTTCCTAATTTAAAACAATTGTAGACTTACAGAAAGGTCACAAAGGTTACAAAGAACTTTCTGAGTACTCGAAAGTTGCCAAAGTGATACCTCATTATCCCCAGATATATCCTCCAAACAAGGACTTTCTCCTATTTAACCATAATGTAACCATCAAAATCAGGGAATTCACATAAGAAATTACTACTTTCTAACTTTCAGACCCCAATTATGTCAAGATGCTCTTGATGCTTTCAGCCTATTTAAAACACAGATTACACACACACATTAGTACATAACAATCAAATTTTGGGCAGAAGGGATAATGAATATTTTTATTATTCTTTGGAAGGTAAAAAGTAGATGTGGTACAATAGGAGAACATAGATGAGTGGTGGAAAATATTTCTGCTTATCTGGCTTTCACCATGCCTTATTACTTAGGCATTCCGCTAATGTTTTTAAATCCCTAGTGTTTCATCTTAGGTGGATGTGAATAGCTTCTATATGCCATTCCACACCAATATTGAAACATATAAAATACATAGGACATACTAGAGAAAAAGTTTATAACTTTTTCCCTCTGCTTATTACTCAGATGACCTTCATCATTTTGTGATATGTCTGTGCTTTAAACCTAGTTTTAACACTTTTTCTTCTTGCTTCCCCCCTCAGTTTAATGTGTTTATTCCTATATGCATAAAGAATGAGTACAAGCTTTAATTTCTGACTTAATCATTTTAACATACTTGCAGTGTTGTTTTTCTTAACATGAATACTCTTTGAAATGGGCAGGTAAGCCGCCCGAGCTGTCTCCACTTGTCTGTGCAAAATATGGCTGGGTCACAGTTGAGTGTGATATGCTCAAGTGCTCCAGCTGTCAAGCTTTTCTCTGTGCCAGTTTACATTCAGCTTTTGATTTTGACAGGTGTAAGTATAAAGTGTAAATTATATTTTTCTCCATATTCAAAGATTACTAGTTTTTCTAAAAAGACCACTTATTTGATCAAAAATGTGTACTACTATATATAACAAGGTGAACTTGTGATTGTCTTCACCCTAATTATTAGCTTTAGTCATTGCCTTTTTAAAAAACCTAAGCTACTTTAGAGTGAACCTGACTTCATGTGCTCTGGGAAATTAACAGTCTGTTTATTTACTTTATGGTTCCAAAATTTACACTTAGGCAAAGAGAGAGCTTTAGTGAGAGCTCACACTTCGGAATGCCCTTTTTATAGGATGCATAGTACCCTCCTGGTTATTGATCTTAGGACCTTGATTTAGAACTTGTTATGTAGGAAATATTAAGATGATGCAATTGCTAATATTTTTATGTATTTTTTAAATTCTCTTAGTTTTTTTTTATTTTTTTATTTTTAGTTGTATCTATACTCTTAAAGGCTCTTTGCCTTTGGATTTTGCATCTATATAGTCTTTTTTAAGGCATTGCTACCTTTGTGGGTTTCAGATAAGGAACGATGTGCCGAGCTGAAGAAAGCCTTGTGTACTGCCCACGAGAAGTTCTGTTTCTGGCCAGACAGCCCCTCTCCAGGTACTCATTTCCGAGATTTCTCATTTATCCTCTCTTCTTGGTCATTGCATTTCTAATGTTTATTTCTTTGTGAAAGTCTAATCTTTGAGGTTCTTGTATTTCCTTTCTATTTGTGCTTTTCAAGAAGAATTGACTGGCATTCATTCACGTTATGTTACTGCTTAACTTTATTAAGTTCATTTGACATGCCAGAGGGTTAGCCTTGCATGCATTATCCCATTTAATCCTCACTGGAGCCCTGGGAGGTAAACATTATCAACCTAATTTTGCGGGGTGAGGAAACTAAGAATCAGAAGTCTTAAAAACAACTAGTGAGGAGCCATAACTAGGGTTTTATCTGATTTCAAACTCTCTGCTTTTTCTATCATAGCAGGCAGCCCCGTGTTCTACTCTAGCTTCCTTTGGTGCAATAATGGCACTAGTAGCAGTTAAACGGTTGCTAAAGAGTCACGGAACCTCAAATAACAGTAATTACAGATCTGCAGTTTATTACAGTAAAACGACACACTATAACAACATCTGAGTAAAGGTGTCATCGCAGTCAAAGACTGCCCCACAGTGGTCTGCATCAGCCAGGCTGTACAGGGCACTCTCTTGAATCAAGAACCATTGATGTGTGCATGAAACGCTGTAGAACAAGGGAGCCGAAAATGTAGTCTCAAGTGGGATCTTTTTATATTTTGCTGGTCACATAGGGATATTCCTGCTCTGTAACCAGCCTCAGCAGCAGAGTCCTCTGCGAGGCTCACTAAGACCAGGCACAGAGCTCTTGGGGCTCATGGTTACAAAGCAACATTATCATTCCATATGTTTCATGCTTGACCCCAGATCAGTGCCATGCAGGTATATTTTTTCAGTAGGACAGCTCAGGCTAATTCCAGGGTCACTGATGCCCTGGAATATTCCATGAATGACCACTAAGAGGAAAAATTGGGTTGAAAGTGACCACAGAGTGCCATCTACTAATAAATGTAAAGGTGATAGGAAAGAGATTATTAAGAAATAACATTTTTAAAGTGAAAATGACTGTATAACAGGATTTCCTACAGTCGGCTGAGCTATTTCATTGTGTAGTACAACAAAACTCAGTCCTATGAGGATATGAATTCATCTAGGGCCAGTGTGCTCAGCCTAAGTTTTTAAGAGTCTGCCTAGAGCTTCGTCGGTGGTTCTTAACACCACTTTCTTGACTCCGTTCATAACTGCAGCTACCACCTACTTGGAAACCTCCAACTCCTATCCAGATCTTTCTTTGGACCTTAATTTATATTTCGAACTACCTTCTACACATTTCTACTTAATATCTTGCAGGTACCTAGAACTCAACACAAAGAAAATGGAATTCTCCATCTGATACTTAAAACTTGTTTCTCTAACATTTTCTCCTTCTTGGTAAATAGTGCTGACCTCCTCCAGTTATCCTAGCCAGAAACCTGGAAGTCAGCTTAGAAGTCAACTATTATCACTCAGGTTCTATATCTTTCTGCTTTTTAAATAGATCAAATATGGCCTTCCAGTTATACTGTCCTTTGGTTTGGTTCTTTAACATTCAAGAGATTTGTGTGGAGAAAGGAACACTCACAAGTACTTATTAAATTTATTAAGCGTGCCTAATAAATACAATTCGAAGGTAATATTTTTCTAACATTAACCAATAATTACAAACTAAATTAAATCCCATTAAACATTTTAAATTACAATTACTAATTTACTACAACTAATTGTTTTGGCCAAATACTAAAATATACAAAATCTTCACATGTTAATTATAAAACATATTTAAACTTATGTTAAAACATTTTCATGAGTTTAATTTCTTCTCTGTGTACTCTTTTACCTGCATAAGTTTTTACTAGTACTTTCTTAAGAGTGTGGCAATTAGGCCAAACTCCAAATTAGAAGATAATCAGAAAGGTGTTGGAACCTAATTTCTTCCAGGTTATGTCAAACTTGAGCCACTGGTCATCAGAACATAATTTTTTATCGTTAAACCTCACTTTGTTTTTTAAAGTCCATATCTTTCCCATTGATTTTAGATTTTTTTTTCTTTTTTTCTTTTCTTTTTTTTTTTTTTAGGTGAGGCAACCCTTGGTTGACCTCACAGATTGCAAAGACCTTGTCAGCTTACAATCCCTTATTTTTTATTTTATTTATTTTTCACGCCTACAGCACCTGGTCTTCCTAGGTGGTCTCCATCCAAGTACTAACCAAGCCTGACCCTGCTTAGCTTCCGAGATCAGATGGGGATTTTAGATTTTTATAACCCAACTTTTCTTGTATAATGGTGCATCTTTTTAAATTGGTGAAGTGTTTTGACATATTTGGTTGCTTGCAACAACTTTAAATAGTTTGATAATATTTAATGATATTACAGGCCAAAGTCTAGTTGCTAATGATAAAATAAGTGGTAGATAAAAGTGCTGCTGTTACTGCTTTCAGGCCCCTTTCAATAACAAAAGTGGGAAAAATTTTTTAAGCAGCCTTATTGAGGTATAATTGACACAAAAATGCACATATTTAGGTATACAATGTCATAAGTTTTGACATATTTGTACACGTGAAGCCATATTTGTACTACATTTCTATTTAATATCATGAGTTTATATTCATTTTCTCTATTTAATGCTGTATATTATTCCACTCAATTTTTTTAAGGAGGTTTCATTGATAACTGAGTTTTGCGTGATCGATGCACCTAATCTCCGTCGTCATTCCGCTGGTGTTTTACAGAGATTATTACTTTATATCTCTTTAACGTCTGCCAAGCTTATTTCTTTGCAAGAAAGACTGACGCCTTACAGTCTCTACTCCAAACTGATGCATGTTATCTAGAATATCACTTTTCTGCTTAAAAAAATTTTTTTCTAGCAGTTTCTCATCACATACATTAATAAAGTCATGGCCTGGCCGCTGCCTACACTTTGACTTGCTCTCCTGCCACTCCCTTTCCTGTGTCCCAGTCCTGTGAAACTAGAATTCCCCAAATGCACCATCCTGTGAGTCTTTGCTTTGACACTGTTTTTGATCTTTCAAATTCAGCTAAGACCTGACTGCTTCTGAGAAACCTTCCCTGAGACTCAGCTTTTTAAACATAATCACAAAAGTATCATCAAAGCCCCATCAAAAAGTCAGTAATTTCTTACTAGCATCAAATGTCTTATCAATTGCACATATCCCCTGTTGATTTAATACTTTTTTATTTAACAATTTACGCCAATATAATCTTCCAGTTTTACGCCAATATAATCTTCCGGTTTTACGACAATATAATCTTCCAGTTTTACGCCAATATAATCTTCCAGTTTATTTTTTCCACAGATCGATTTGGGATGTTACCCTTGGATGAGCCTGCTGTTCTCATTAGCGAATTCCTAGATCGTTTTCAAAGCCTTTGTCACTTGGACCTCCAGCTTCCTTCCCTGAAGCCAGAGGACTTGAAAATTATGGTGAGTTTTTTTGACTAGCTCCTGTTATCACCAGCATTTGTATATGAAACATTTAATGACAAGAGGATGCAGATTGCTATGAAGAGAACTACTAGTTTGTCTCTCAACTGACCTTTTTCAGTTTCTGCCAGAAAGGTGACTGTTGAGGGTTTAATTTAAGGAAATGCATTGCAGTTAAACTTTCAGATATAATTCTCTAAATGGTATAAGTTCAATTTTATCCTGATTTGTTATTTAAATATTTCACAGAAAATACTAAAATGTCACTTCATGTGGTTTATTGCATACCATTTCCCAAAGAAGTGCTAGAGGTGAGAGTTATAAACTCCCTCTTCTTTTATGAATAGAAATTTTGAAATGCTCTGGCCCATCTGTACTTTGAGTGTTGACTGTCCCATTTCATCACCTAATAGGTACTTGTGAAAACAAGCTTTACTGTGTGAAATACAAGCTGTTATTTTGCTGCTTCAGGCCGAGAGGCAGTTATGGGTTTTAGCACCAAACTATTAACCTCTGATGCTTGTTATAAATTTCACCCTGTCCCTAGCCAAGGCAACTTTTTTTCACCCTTTCTTAGTTCTTTAATATTCTTAGATCAAAAATAAAGACTCTGGCAGGCTCTATTGTTTAATTAAAAAGTGAATTCAATGTCAGGCCAAGATATAAACAATAAACTATTTTCATTATTTGGGTTTGAAGTTTACAATTTCAGAGAAAGTCTGCAATTGGTAAATTGAAAACAAGTTAGTACTAAGAAAAGGTATGGTAATTCCAGGAAAACTGCTACCTCTCTCAGTCAGCAGATCCAGGGCA